TACCGATGTTGCGCGCCTGCTCCTGGGCAACAGCAAACCCTAGGTGCCTCTCCGTCTCGTGATCTATCGCTGCCTCCCCCTTCTCGTCCCGGATCGGGTGCCGCACCAGACGGAAGCGCTTCGATGTGGCCGGATCGACAAGCGCGCGCCCAAGTCTGATGAGGCCGTCAACGCGACCGTCGGCCGCCGCGACGGCCATGCCCCGCCGCAGATCGGCATGCATGAAGCGCTCTCACGACGCTGCCGCACCAGCAGTAGCCCCCACCTCTTTCGCGTCGTGACCGGCCCCGTTGACGCGACCGACACCAGTTGCATCCTCTGCTCTATTTCGTCCTCCCTGACCTTGCTTGGTTCTGCTACGGTAACCTAAAAAATCCCCTATATCTCCTTTGCCACCTTATGTCTCTGATCCCTTGATTTTGTTTTCTATATGTATGGATGTAGTTTGCTTACACATACGATTTGTGTTCTAGAAACAAAAAATGAAAATGTCTCCCCTCATAACTTATGTATGTATTGTTAATCTGAAAGGCACATTGTTTGCAGGTTTGGGACATTGATGCGAACAAACTATGTTATCTGCAATGTATTCGAAAGGCGGTCGCTGCAGTCTCTGAAAAGCTGCGGCATGTGACTATGTGAGTTAGCCCCATAGGAGATAGGAACACCTGTTAAATCAGTTTCTACTAAAAAAACGTAACGCAACATTGTAGCGTCTTAATTTCAGTACTACGGTCTCAGGCCTAGCGATGGTACATGAGTTCTCGGCAAATGATAGTAGTAGATAGAAAATGCATACATACCTGTGAATGCTGAAAGCATTATAGTTGCTTAAAGTATTCATTTATATGAAATTAGAATTGCTTACCGTAAGCATTTATATTTCATACTACCATTCTGAAGAAAAACTGTATTCACAGGCAACAGCTCTCCTCCAGTCCTCGTCCTCCCCAATCCCGGCGCCCGGCGGGTGCCGGTCGTGTGGTGCCGTGGTGGCGACCGGCCGAGGGTTGCTGCTTACGCTGCGAGACTGCACCACAGAGCTGAGCTACTTTGGTCTCTTACCTCATGCCATCCAACTGATTTTGATCATTTGCTTGTTTGCTTGTTTCATTGGGTATATACAACCATACAGGTCCATGTAGTCCACATGATGGAGGACATGGTGGAGCGGAACAAGCTAACCCACGTAACAATGTAGTTATATTTTGGTTGTGCAAATATGCCTCTATGCTGGCACTGCAAAAAAGGTTCTGGGAGTTTGACAAATATACCTTAGTTCCTTAGGTTTACTAACATAAGATTACAGATAGCAAAAAACTACAGTTGGACCTATCGGTTGTCATTCTCGGGATCGTTCCATTCGAAACACGCATGTTCCCAACAAATTGAGTGGTTGTCTGCGTGAATCTATGAATGATCTGAACTGTTTTTTTATTCAGTTACTTAAAAAACTTAAATGGGTTTACTTTTTTTCTTCAAAAAAACCTGTTTTGAGACCTAGATTGTCTTATTTCCTCATCAAGTATTTTATTTGCTTCAGTCCAGCCAAGGAATATTAGGTATACTTCTAATTTCTGCATCCCTGTATCCTACATTTTCCTCATTTGTAGGATTTTGCTTTCTGTACAAAAAAGAAAGGTGATGGATACCTTTACATATTCTGCAGGTAGGTGAGAAAAAAGGGAACCAGAAAAAAAAAGTATGGGAGGAACTTATGTCCAGTTGCAGAGTATGAAAAAAAGCCTACCATCTGGGTCACATTCACACGTGAAGGTCAGCTTGGTAACTTTAATGGTATGCAATTCTACATCTATGCGCTATGGTCCTGTTCTGCTTCTTAATTCCAATAACTGTAATTCCATTAATTACAAGTGATCACTGTGATTTATGAGTGTGACTTTAAAGTGTTCAGCTAAATTCTCAAACTGTATTGCGATGTTTCCTTTCTGTTGGTTCCCTTCCTGGCAAAGAAGTTAGTACTGGATGGTTTACAGTGTGGTATCCTCGGCAGTTACTGTTTCAAGCAGTAACTGTGATTTATGAAGTTAGTAGTGGATGGTTTACAATGTGGTGTCATCTATATTGCCATGTTTCCTTCCTGTTGGTTCCCTTCTCAGCAAACATGCTAGTATTGGATGGTTTACAGTCTGGTTTGTGATTCACTAAAACTATTACATAAATATTTCCGAGGCTTCTTATCGATGTTGGTCTAGATTTTCAGTTACCACTTATTGATACTTACTATACCGTTTGCTTCTATATAAGTTGCAGCAGCTATGCAGTGCTTCATGGTGTATTTTGCTTTCACTTCTATGATTGCATTTCTAACTGACTGCCGACACACGTGAGGACGCGTGTAATGGACTAGTACCCTAATAAACCCACACATCAGCAAGACAGCAATAAAAATAAAATTTGAGCGTGTCTAACGTTGTACCCTTGCACCGCGCGCTTGGACGCATTTTAATTTATTCTTTTTTTGCCCAGGGTGCAATGACGAACAAGTGTCACGTGCAATATATATATATATATATATATATATATATATATATATATATATATATATATATATATATATATATATATATATATATATATATATATGTTCTTCATTCCACAGAATGGAGATAGATGGTGCCATCGTTATGTGATGATTTAACGTATCAATCCATTAGTGTGTGACGTATCTCAATTAGTGCACATATGTGGTGGCTACATATGGATTATTTGTGCATTTAATCATTTACCAAGAGAATTATTGTATTGTTTTTTCGGTGATAATAGAGATTTGTAATTGAAAAGGATGAAGTACTCTCTCTCCTTATAAATAATTCACACTATAAAAATATTATCTTCTTATCTGGATGCATAGCAAAAGCTATGCATCTAGAAAAGTCCGAACGACTTATAATTTAAAATAGAGAGAGAATCACTTGTGCGCAACCAAGCCAATGCTACCAAGTCATTACCATTTACAAAAGTTCTATAAGAATGCCACACATCCTCTCACTGACAATTTGAAACGAGGGAGTACAATTTAAACACTTGTGTGCAACTAAGCCAATGCTCAAAAGTTGTATAAAAATGACCACACATCCTGTCACCGAATTACATGCTAGGACTATTAACTAAACCACTCTCACATGATAAAGTTAATAGTAAAGCTAAAGTTAGAGAAATTTTATTTTGGGCAAAACTAGAGCGTCTTACATTTTGGAACAAAGGAAATATATTGGTTTATAGGGTTTGGTGGGTCAAGCTACTGACTAATGGGATTTTTTGTTTTCTCTAGGGAGTGGTAGTACACCCCTACACCGTTAGCCGTCATTTTTTCAAAGATATGATATTTTTAACTCTGAAAGTGGAAATCAAACGAAATGACTGTAGATAAGATTTTGGCCACTTTTATCAGGTTGGGTTGAACTATGGAGCTTAGTGAGGGCCATAGCACCATGTAAAAAAACACATCACAGGCGCGTGTTCAGGCACATCACAGATGCCATAACACGTCTGTAATAAGGCCCCGTTCGCGTGTCCTTAAACCCGGCTTGATCCGCTTCTTTTTTCATCTGGAACAGTGTTTTTCTCTCACAAATTTCTTCAGCATTCCTCCAAACCATCCAAATTCCTTCAGAATTCATCCAAGCGAACAGGCCCAAGGTCTTATTACAAACGCGTGCATACTACAGACGCGTGTTACAAACACGCGATTGTGACAAACGAACACGCATATGTAGTAAGCCATTACTGGAGACGCGTGTTACCAAAGGCGCGTCCGTAACAAGATGAAGACACGTCTGTAGTAAGGATCATAATACATACAACATTTATAAACCCATCTGTAGTAAGGATCACACTAGAGACGCGTGTTAACAACACGCGTCTGTAACAAAACACGCGTCTGTAATATGTGATATTATTACAAACACGTGTCCCGTACGTGCGTCTGTAATATGATACCCAGATACAAACGCATGTTACCTACGCACGTCTGTAGAGTTTGAACCCGTTATCTGAGACTCGAAAAACACAATACACGTCTGTAATCTTTGATGCAGCTACATACGTGTGTTACAAACGCGTGTCTGTAGCGTTAGCACAGACGTGTTTTCCCAACACGCGTTTGTAGTAAGCACTTACTACAGACGCGTGTTGACCTCATCGGACTGGGGAACCCTGCCGATGACTTACTATAGACGCGCGCGGGGAAGACACGTCTGTAAACTCGTACTACACATGCGCGTTTGTGCTGATGTCTGTATGTGACGTGGTAGATATATGGCTTTTTTACATAGTGCAGTGGGCCATGGCCTCCTAAGCTAGATCATCTTTTAATGAAAGTCTTAGCTTTGCTACTTTAGTTGCTAATGAAATATTAATATGTCCTCCTCTTCTTCCATTTTAGATCATATTGCCCCCCTCTTCATTCATGTCCAAGCTCTGCCACTGTTGAGTTGTAACATCAACGTTGGTTGCTTATTGTTGAAAAATAAGGTTAGTAAGGTGAAAAATATTCTCTTGAATGAAGCATTGGGTTCTTTTATCTTTGATTGAGCAAATCTTATTTTGTGTTAGGTTTTGATATTAAAAGTAATCCTAGTTTTGTTAATTTTGTTAATCCGCCCGTCCAGTGCTTTAATTGATAGTGAAATCCAGCTGCTACGACTTAGAACCCGGTGAAAAGTACTCTGTGTCATAAAGGCCTATGCGGTTAACTCCATAATTTTGTTCTTTTCAGTAGAAATTCAGACTTGGATCATTTTTTTGATGCCAATGTAGTACGAAAATTCGATGTCTATTGTACAATATAGTACCTTTTTTCTTGAAAAAGAAAAAGCCTGTGGTGTGGGCCGAATCAAATTTGGGTGCACAACGCCGAAAGCCTGGCCCAATTAGAGTAAGCACACAAAGAGACAGGCCCAAAGGACTTGTAGATCCGAAGTTTCTCACTGTGTCCCCTTTGTCGTGCCCACCTCAAAGTCCAAAACCCAGCCCCAATGGCCGCCACCCCGCCGGGCCCGGCGCCGCCGCGCATCCTCCTCGCCGGCGACGCCCACGGCCGACTCCACCAGCTCTTCAAGCGCGTCAAATCGGTAGCTACCCCCTCCACCTACCATTCTCTATTCTTCCTCTCGCTGGTGCCGCCGGTCCGTGACGCCGTGCGCTGCCCGCCCGCAGGTGAACCAGTCGACGGGGCCGTTCCACGCGCTGCTCTGCGTGGGGCAGTTCTTCTCCCCCGAGGGAGATGCCGAGGGCGCACCGGGGGACGTCGCCGACTACATCGAGGGGCGCGCTTCCGTGCCCATCCCGACCTACTTCACCGGCGACTACGGCCCCTCGGCGCCGCGGCTGCTGTCGAAGGCCGCCGCTGGCGCTCGCGGGTTCGCACCCGGCGGCATCGAGATATGCCCCAACCTCTTCTGGCTCAGAGGAAGCAACCACTTCACCCTCCACGGTGTGTTTTCTGGCTAGTCTGCTGCTAATTGATTTCATTTGCTACCGGCTAGTTAAATTTTTTGAGATAGAGCACTGTGGAGTTAATCGAGTGTTGGACTATATCACACTCATGCAGCAGGAGTCGCCTCTCGTGGTTCAAAATACTTTCGTAAAACCTATTCGTGTACTGGTACATCCTTAAAAGTGATATGGAACTTCATTGAACAATGTGTAGCGATGCCTGAAAGGCTGAATGTGAACTGATTTACTCTCACCTTTCCTGTTTGTAGGTTTGTCGGTGGTTTATTTGTCAGGGAGGAAGGGACTAGGAGGGCCTGGCTGCTACAGCCAGGATGATGTGGATGCCCTGCGGGCTCTTGCAGAAGAGCCAGGGATTGTCGATCTGCTCTTGACATATCCTTTTTTTTTTCCCAATTACTGTTCCTTCCACTGCCTGCTAGTATTAATATTGAGTTGCTTTGTGTTAGCATCTATTCTGGATGCATCATACTTGGGTTCCCTTGACAGTAATGAGATTGCACTAACGAATGGCCAACTGGAGTAGTCAGTGGGGCTGACACTTCCAATGTGCCTAATCAGGTTTTGGATCCTAATGGGTATGACCCTATTGTTGCTGAATTGGTTGCTGAGATTAAGCCAAGGTTTGGTTCGGACTTCATAGTTCATACACAAAAAGAAAATGATTATTGAGAAAGTCAACTTAAAGCATTAACATGCAGCTTCTGTATGGCTGTAATGCTGATATTGTACAATGATATTATTATAATATATACTCAGTTGCTGACTACTAACTTAACCAAATCAGTGTTTTGTGCATTATGTAGCAGAAGACAGAATGTATGCTGATCCAGATTTGTGACATCGTTTGGTTCGTGCAGATATCACATTGCTGGTACTAAAGGTGTCTTTTATTCAAGGGAACCATATGTCAATGATTCTGCTGCGCATGTTACCCGCTTTATTGGACTTGCTAATGTTGGAAACAAAGAGAAGCAGGTATTTATAATTTTATATACAGATCAAACCAACTTCTTGTTCAAAACAGAAAGAAAAACCTGTTCGTTCATGTTTATACTACCTTTTTATGCTGTATCGTAATTTGTACACTACTCTATCCAGTCACTGACAAGTGATTTGGACATGGGCATGGTCCCCAGAATGCAATTTTGACTGCTATTTTTTTTTGTTGTAATGTATTTATAAAGTAGATGGCTTGATTAGAGCTGTACCTAGTAGTGAGAAACTTTTGTATAGAAGGAGATCTTAATGGCCATGTAGGTACTACAAGTGTAGGTTTCGAGGCAGTTCATGGAGGTTTTGGGTATGGTAGTAGGAATCAGGAGGGGGAGGAAGTTCTGGACTTTGCGGTAGCTTTTGACCTGATGATAGCCAACACTTTCTTTAGAAATAGAGAATCTCATAGTGACCTTCAGTAACGGACAATACTTTAGCCAGATTGACTTTGTCCTCACAAGAAGAAAGGACAAACGAACATGCTTGGGTTGCAAGGTGATATCAGGGGAGTGTATTGTTTCTCAACATAAGCTTTTGGTGGTAGACTTTCGTTTTCAGGTGCGTGCCCGTAGGGATAAACAAGCTAAGATTGAAAGAACAAAGTGGTGGAAACTGAAAGGGGAGACGTCAGAGGTATTCAGTGAAATGGTTATCAAAGAGGGCTCTTGGTAGGAAGAAGATGGCATAAACAACATGTGGGAGAAGATAGCAACCAACATTCGGAATGTGGCCTCAGAGGTGTGTGGAGCAATGTTTTCAAGTCGTCCAGTCGAACCTAGTCGCCATGGGACTGACTAGGACGATTAATCACGATTAATCGCGATTAATCGGACGACTTGTACAAGTCGACGGTACCCATAATCAGTCAGCAGGGACCGATTAGGACGATTAATCGTGATTAATCGCGATTAATCGGACGACTTGAAAACATTGGTGTGGAGTAACCAAAGGAAGTGGAGGCGAGGCTAAAGATACTTGGTGGTAGAATGAGGAAGTCCAAAGGGCTATTAAGGAGAAGAAAGAATGCTATAGACGCTTGTACCATGACAGGAGTGTGGACAACATAGAGAAGTACAAGGTGGCAAAGAAGACTGCAAAGCGAGCTGTAAGTGTGGCAAAGGGTAGAGCGTGCGAGGATCTTTACCAACATTTGAGTACGAAGAAAGAAGAGAAGGACATTTATAGGATGGTTATGGTTCGTAAGAGAAAGACAAGGGACTTCAACCAAGTTAAGTGCATTAAGGATGAAAGGGAGCATCTCTTGGTGAAGGAGGATGAGATCCGACATCGATGACAAGAGTATTTTGACAAATTGTTCAATGGTGAGAATATGGACACAACCTTTCAGTTGGATGACTCTTTTAATGATACCAATAGGCGCTTTGTGCGGAGAATCCAAGAATTTGAGGTCAGAGAAGCGTTGAAAATGATGAAAAGAGGTAAGGCGATGGGACCGGATGGTATCCCAATCGAGGTGTGGAGATGCCTCGGGGACATAGCTATAGTATGGCTAACCAAGCTGTTCAACCATATTTTTCGATCGAACAAGATGCCTGATGAGTGGAGGAGAAGTATATTGGTACCGATCTACAATAATAAAAGGGATATTTAAAGTTGTACTAATTACCGGGGAATTAAGTTGATGAGCCATACTATGAAGCTATGGGAGAGAGTTATCGAGCATCGCTTGAGAGCAATAACGCGGGTCTCTATGAACCAATTTGGTTTTATGCCCGGAAGGTCAACCATGGAAGCCATTTTCTTAATAAGACAAGTTATGGAGCGGTATAGGGAGAAGAAGAAGGACATACACATGGTTTTTATTGACTTGGAGAAGGCTTATGATAAAATACTAAGGAATGTTATGTGGTGGGCTTTAGACAAACATAAAGTCCCAACGAAGTACGTCGGGCTCATTAAGGACATGTACAACAATGTTGTGACTAGAGTTCGAACAAGTGATGGAGACACGGATGACTTCCCAATTAGAATAGGACTACATCATGGGTCAGCTTTGAACCCTTATTTGTTTGCCTTAGTGATGGATGAGGTCACAAGGGACATACAAGGGGACATCCCTTGGTGTATGCTTTTCGTGGACGATGTAGTGCTAGTTGATGAAAGCCGGACAGGAGTGAATCAGAAACTGGAGTTATGGCGGGAGACTTTGGAGTCCAAAGATTTTAGACTCAGTAGAATTAAAATTGAGTATATGAGATGTGACTTCGGCACTACTACTCGGGAGGAGGAAGATATTAGTTTGGAAGGTCAAGTAGTGTCTAGGAATGATACCTTTCGATATTTAGGATCAATGCTACATAGAGACGGGGATATTGATGAAGATGTTAGCCATAGAATCAAAGTAGAGTGGATGAAGTGGCGGCAAGCATCTGGTGTCCTATGTGACAAAATGGCACCACAGAAGCTAAAATGTAACTTTTATAGGACGGCGATTAGACCTGCTTTGTTGTATGGTGCAGAATGTTGGCCTACGAAAAGACGACATGTTCAACAGATAAGTGTCATAGAAATGCGTATGTTGCGTTGGATTTGCGGTCATACAAGAAGGGATCGAGTTCAGAACGATGATATACATGATAGATTAGGGGTAGCACCAATTGAAGAAAAGCTTGTCCAACACCGGTTGAGATGGTTTGGACATGTCTAACGGAGACCTTCAGAGGCATCGGTGCGTAGTGGAATCCTAAAGCCAGGATAGTAACGTGAAGAGAGGCAGAGGAAGACCGAAGTTGACTTGGGTAGAGACAATAAAAGAAGACTTGAAAGGATAGAATATACCCAAAGACTTAGCCTTAGATAGGAGTGCTTGTAAGACAGCTATTCACGTGCCTAAACCTTGATTGCTTCTGCTGGGTTTCAACTCTAGCCTACCCCAACTTGTTTGGGACTTTAAGGATTTGTTGTTGTTGTAATGTATTTATAAAGCACAGCAGAAGTATCTGTTTTGAAACTACTTTTGAAGACAAACCTACTCATATCAACTCTTTTCAAATATATCCAAATTCAACACATAAAAGGTAATTTTGAATCAAATTTTGAAATAGTAGACTGCACAGAACCCAAAACGTCACTTATTTATGACTGGAGGGGGTATGTTTCAAGACTTTCCTTGTTCCTTCCAAGCTATAAAAATCATTCAGGCATTCTTATTATCAGTAATTCAGTACATGTGTCAAAGCACTAATTGCTTTCCAGTTATATGTTACCTACTAGCCAAAAAATTCTACTTCAAATGTGCAGCTTCAGTGATACATTGTAATTACCTAGCAATTTAAGTCATTAATTGTGTACTCCTTATTGCATATACTTTTCAGAAATTTATTCATGCGATTTCGCCTACTCCAGCATCTGTCATGTCCAGTGCTGATATCCATGCGAAGCCTCCAAATGCTACTTTGTCACCATATGTTGGTCCATCAAAATCAGTTCCTATTGAAGAAGCTCCAAAACGTCCAGCTGAGAACATTGATTCGCAATACTGGCGTTATGATGTCAAGCGGCAAAGGCATGGTGAAGCTGATGGGGGTGGATTGTGTTTCAAATTTACATCCTCAGGATCCTGTCAACGAGGGAGTAAATGCAATTATAGGCATGATGAGGAGGCAGTGGAGCATTATCAGAGAAATGTCTGTTTTGATTTTCTAAACAAAGGGAAATGTGAGAAGGGCCCAGAGTGCAAGTTTGTTCACAGCCTTTCAGGGGAGACTGCTCTAACAGATGCAAGACCTCGTAGGTGAGAAAAGCAGTACACAATCACTCTCTTTCTGTCAGTCTGACTCTGTAGGCATGCCTTTTGTGCTGGTATTTACCTCATTCATATTTTTCAAACTCCAGTGAAAGAAGACGTGTGGAGAGCAGTTGCTGGTTCTGCTTGTCGAGTCCGGATGTTGAGTCACATCTTGTCATTAGCATCGGAGAAGGTTACTACTGCACACTTGCAAAGGGGCCACTTGTTCCAAATCATGTTCTAATGATTCCCGTCGAACACTGCCCCAGTACATTGATGATGCCTCCAGAAGCAGAGGCAGAACTTGGGAGATATAAGATTGCTCTGGGTAAGTACTTTGAGAAGCAAGGAAAGACTGCAGTCTACTTTGAGTGTGTTTCACCGCGCTCCCACCATGCAAACCTGCAGGTATGGATGCTTCTCACCTGATATGAAACTTGCATCTGTGCAGAATCTTTGCCTTGATTATGCTACATGGTAATCCTCCCAATTTCTTGCATAGGTTGTTCCTGTACCATTGCCCAAAGCAGATGCTGTTAATAAGATATTTCATCTAGCAGCCAAAAAACTGGGATTTGAATTCTCTATGGTGAATCCAGGTGACTCTTTATGCATTTTTGCCTCCGCCTTTTGTTTTTTCGATTAAACAAAAGAAAAACATGACCACATGCAGCAGGGAAGAAATATGTTCTTCATTACATATTAGTCAAAATTTGCAATTTTGTGAAATGTAACACATACTGCTTGTCGCACATGGTTGATAATTTAATATTATAATCGTTCAACATTATTTAGTATGTCATGCTGCTGATGTATTACTGTGATACATGATGTCAAGAGCTAAGATAGCCTTCATTGTCGCTTTTTAGTTTTTATTACAATGCTCACAGGAGTAAAGGTTCAAACTGTTATATTCTTTGTTGGACTATGAAGTACGATGACCAGTTGCTTCAACATTCTCTGTTGATGATTTGATCAGATTGAACTTTGGTTTAATTAGCAATGACCAGAACTAGCTTTGAAATGTGTTAGCTCGTTCAAAGAAAGTTTTTTTTTTTTTTTTTGGAAAACTATGCTTTTATAATCTTCCATGAAGTTATATCGACTCAATTTCATTACTTATGATGCTTTGGCCCTGAGTAAATGATAGGTGCATTCCATTTCTGTTACCATTGACGTCTGGTTTGTTTTTACAGACGGTGCAAAAACAGCTAGAGAATCATTGATGTCTCAGTGCGAAAGCAAATCAGGCCTGTTTTATGTTGAGCTCCCGGAAGGTAGACTTCTCTTGCACATGGTCGACAGTAACGAGAAGTTCCCTGTGCAGTTTGGACGCGAGGTATGACTTGACCATCGTTGGCCCAGTTTTAGCTTGAAACAACAAACTAGTTGAAATTGGGGAGGAAGTAGTGAAATTGCAGTAAACTAAACAGCTGGCTGTCTTCCCTTTTCATGTCCACAGGTTTTAGCAGGATTGCTAAGCATGGCAGATCGCGCAGATTGGAGGAACTGCAAGATTTCAAAGGAAGAGGAGATTGAAATGGTGGACGATTTCAAACAAGGTTTCCGCGAATTTGATCCCGCAGAGTGAAAACCATGCTGTGCGCCTGTGCTTGTGTTTTGCGAGCAGTGTTCCTTACTGAGTAGAAAATGGAAACCCACGTTTGCAATTTGTAGCCTAATTTTGAGGTCACATTTGTATGCCTGAGAGATGGACATTACATGAAGCACTAGAACGTAACATTTTCCAATGCGGCAATTTCTGTTTTATATAAACGCATGTGCGAGCAAGACACTTGTCTGTTATTAAGCGTCCCGGGACGAACGCACTTTGGTTCAGCGAGATGATTTCGGATAGGACTTGCTTCAGCCTGTTGGACGCCACCATGGATGCTATCTTGTAATATAACAGTGCACAAGCTAATCGGCCGTAAGTACTTTTATTCTCTCCGGTTGTGGCACTTTTGGGATAAGCACCACCACCATTTCATTGCACCCGTCAGGAATTTCCCCTCGCAAGAAATTACGCACCTCCCGTAGTCCCGTGTGACATCATCGCCAGCAACCCCCAATACTGACAAAGAACAGAGAGTACATGCCATTTGAGATCGCCGCTATAATGCAAAGCCCTTTTAATTTCATCATCAGCGAAGTCCCCTAGCACTAGCAGTATATGATCAGGAATCTTCGCTGCCGACCAGGGTGGCAGCTATCCCTCCGCCGACGGTGCTGTGTTTTGTTTTGAAATGGTCGAACACACTGCCCAATCAATTGTTAAGATAGCAAAGTCAGATGCAGTTGCACTGGCTAATGTTGAATTTATTATAAGGGTGGCAGTTCACAGGGAATCCTAATCAAGAGAGAGGTGTTAATTAACATTTGTTAAGCAAGAGAAAACTAAGCAATATAGAGGCGATCTCACTATAACGTGGGTGTACGTGGATCTCAAGAACAGAAGCCAATTCTGATTCCCGCATCATTAAGAACGACCACCGTTATGCCCATTTCACTAAAACCACCTAACACCATTGTCGTCGCTGCCACTCAAATCACAGAGCACAAACCACCCAAACCACAGAAAGGGGAGCTAGATATAGGTGGTTGAGATGGCGGGCATTATAGTGACCGCTGCCACTGGGGTGATGAGCTCACTCCTCTCCAAGCTCTCGCTGCTGCTTAGTGATCAGTACAAGAACCTCAAGGGGGTCCGAAGGGATATTAGATCCTCAGCGATGAGTTGACTGAGATGAATGCAGCATTGGAGAAGATAGCAGGCATGGATAAGCTCGATTGCCAGAAAAGGTGTGGAGGGACAAGGTCCGTGAGATGGCCTATGACATCGAGGATTGCTTTGACATCTTCATGCACCAGCTTGGCGAGGGAGACGACGGCAAGGATGGCTTGTTTCGCAAGACTGCACGCAAGATTAGGAAGTTGCGAGTGCGCCATCAGATTGCCAGCAAGATTCAAGAGCTCAAAGCTCGTGTCGTGGAGCAGAGTGAGAGCCGAGGTAGATACAAGATAGGTGAGTCTGTTAGAGCCTAGAGTGGTGGAAGTTGACCCAAGGCTACCTGCAATGTATGAGGATGCAAAGAGAGGCTTGTGGGCATTGATGGCCCACGGGAGGAGATCATCAAACGGTTGATGGAAGAAGGTGACCGTCATTCTGGACGACTTCAAGTGTTATCCATCGTGGGTTTTGGTGGCCTCGGCAAGACAACACTTGCAAACCAAGTTCACTCCAAAATCAAGAATGAGTTTGAATGCAGCGCGTTCGTTGCAGTCTCTAGAACTCCTCACATGCCAAAGATTCTGAAGGACATACTCTTCGGAGTTGGATATCGTGATATGGAAATGGGAGATGATGTCCAAAAGCTTATCGAGATCCCTAGAGAAAGTCTCACGACTAAGAGGTATGTTTTTATCTGGAATTTATGGTAAACTTATCAATATGCATGTGTTATTTCTGAAGCTTATCAATACCTATCATGTTTATTCACTGAGCAAAGTAAGTTTAATTCATTTAAAAAGTGCCAAGCATGAGTGTTGCCAAAAAATTGAAATCATTATTTAATAGCATCATAAAAATTAAATACTTGGAGTTCATATTTCATCTTTTTTCAAAGAGATCTTTATTTTTATATTTAACTGATTTTCTATATAATTTCCCTCTCAGTATTAATGTCGTGCTACATTGATAGGTGGATCAGCAGGTTAGCTATATATATATATATATGTGTGTGTGTGTGTGTGTGTGTATACTTCAGTGTAGTAACCTTACATTTTGTACATTCAAAGTTTAGGATAAATTTTTAGTTTTCACATAAATTTACTACTAAAGAAAATATATCTGGGTTTTGTTTGTTTTTTGAAGAAATTTAAGGGCCTTGCACATTGTGGACTACTGTTGTCTAATTTGGATGCCTCGTCTTGTATATTCCGATTATGCATATTATAGATTTATGTATATATTTGCAATTAAAGTTGTGTAGCTGCCCCTACAAATGTCTTATTTATAGATATAGAGAACCTTTGTGTAGATATGGTTGTGCATTCCTATTTTTTGACTGCCTCTAGAAATTCTTTTTTTTGGTAGTGAATCTATATATGTTCCTCGAGGACCATATAAATTGGCAACAAAGAATCAGTAGCCAACAATTTTCATCTAAGAACTATTGGCCACTTACTAAAGACTTCCAGAAGATGTCTTAGTTATATACTAAGAAAATTTAAAAAGGACCAACGATCACTGGCCATTTAGAAAGAAAATACTCCAGAAATATTTTAGTCGTGTATTGCCACACACATAGCTCCTAAAAGCTATTTGGGCATGAGACCTGCTATTTCAATTTGTTCTCCCTCAAAATGACTTTTCGCTCAGCTACTAGCAAATATCAAAATGGTAGTTGAATCAATGAAAAGGCATACATTTCCTTCCTATTTAAGTGAGATATTATTACTCATATTTATTTTGTCATATTGAGTGCGCTTTTGTGGAAAATAACAATGCCAGCAGAGTGATAACTACCACACGTATTCAAGACGTTGGTACAGCCTGTTGCTTCCCAAGTGAAGGCCATGTATACCAAGTATGGAATTAGTCCCAACCTAGAAACAGAACAGATTACGCAGGTTGCGCAACTTGCTAAGCCCATTTTTGAACGCTACATTTTCTGGTAAACTGAGATGCCTTAGAGATGACAAAGAACTATCTTGGTGTGTTGACCAATCTTAAGAAGCTCTCGGTGATATACGATTACTCTAGGCCAGGTGCCGTATAAAATAATCTAGAGACAATCCTGGCTTCCTCTTTTGACAAGCTTGGGAACAGCAACCTTCGCTCTCTGAATTTTGTGGTTCCATCAGGTGCCAGGGCTCCCTCAGCTCAATTTTGGAGTAATTGCTTGTCACGTCCACGGCATCTGCAGAAACTTGCCTTGTGCGGCGTAATAATGCCCAAGGCCCCAAATTGGATGGCACATGATGACAGGTTGGCCTATCTGTATCGACTAGAAGTCCAAGAGCTCCGGAGCGATGACTTCCAGGTGCTTGGGCAGCTGCCCTGCCTCATCTACCTCGTGTTAGATGCTGAAACAATCCCAGAGAAAAACATCATTATCCACCCAAACACATTCTCTAGCCTGAAGCCTGAAGCGTTTCGAATTCTCTTGTGAGCTTTCATGCCTGAAGTTGGAGCCAGCCGCAATGCCACGGCTACAGAGACCGGACATACGACTTGATGCTCGTGGACAAGGTGCAATCCAACTCAGTTGGTGGCATCGAGAACCTTGCTAGCCTTGTAGAGATCGAGATCACCGTGGAAATACTTGCCAAATATGATCACGGATCCAAAATAGAGGCTGCATGCAGAGATGCAATCAGTCGGCACCCGACAAGTCAAGCCATGCATGCAGATTCATGTAAAGCTGTAACGAGTTCGATGAAAATTGATTTGTGGTAGCAAGACAGAGAGGGACTGCTCAAGGGATATGTGGAGGACGATTGCATTTGCTGTAGTACGAGGCAGTCAAGAAGACTGAAAATGCTGGATTACTGGTATCCTTTTGCTGTTTTGAGCTTCGTCTCTGTTAGTAATCCTTGTGCAGGGTAGTTGGCATGTTTCTTTTCTATGTTTAGCATGCATGCGCTGAGCACCGACTTGTGGTTCGCCGAGCGCTTTGGAGGCCGTGGTGCTAGACTAGCTAGCTTGCCCACGAGGTCGGCGGAGGTGGTTGCTGCCACCCGGATCGGCACCCCCGTATATGATTCTTCGATCTCAGGGGTATACGTGGTTGGAGATGTTGGAGTATCATTGTAACTGGTTCCTTCATGGGATTGAAACAAACTTTTGTAGTAGTTAGAAATCAACCGCTGTACTTGTCTATTCTCAGTCACCATACCCCCATCCTCCTCCACCAATTTCCTAATTCTACTTCTTCTCCTTCTCGCTCTCCGGACGCACTAATCCGCGAACCCTCAGTCAATTTAAATCAAGCGAACGATATTACGACACGCAATTTCCTTTTCTGGCAAAAAATAATTCCCACCCTGACATTGCTGCGCTCGGCCGAGCAACATTCGCTCACTACTCATTTTTAACTAGCGTGTGACGTCATGGCTGACGCAAGCTGAAAAAAACGTTTACTTTTGAATTTCTATAACTTCTGAACGGTGTATCCATTTTCAATTCCGTCTATACCGGTGTGTTTTACGTAACGAGATGGACAAAACTAGACTACACTTTCATATGTTTCGAAGAATTTTATTCTAATAACAATTTATGTATATTAACTTATCACATATAATTTATAGCCTATAACTTATAACATATAACTTATAGCCTATAACTTACAACATATAATATATGACTTGGAATTTTTTTTTATGAAACATAACTTATGTACAAAAGTTATTAAACACAAAGGAATGAATTAACTCATAACTTATGCCAAAGCTTAGAAACACAAAAGTTATTAAACACAATTGAACGAATTAACTTATAATTTATACAAAAACTTAGAAAACATAAAAAAATACGAAATACAATCTATATACAAAAGTTACTAAACACAAATGAACAAATTAACTTAT